GTGCATCTCTCCATGTTTTGAAACTCGTGCACCATGCCAGGGGCTGGCTTGGTGGGCCTTAAATTAGATATATATATTTTTTTCTCTGATGCCTCTGCATTGTCCATGTATTTATTCATATACAGTAGGACTACTCCAGAAAGTTTTTCTTTTCTTTTCTTCTTCCTAGCTCCCTGGCTTATATACAGGACATTCAGCATGCCAGCTTCCTACCGATTTTCGATTTTTCTTCTTCTTCTTCTGTGCTTGGCAGTCCTAGGAATTGAATTTATTTATTTGCCTTTTAACCAGGTACTTCAGCCATCATGGGGTATCTGATTTATTTGTGATGACGCCGCCACCATGTTTTATGCGTGGGCTAGATCCGCAACAAGGAAACGGACACAAGAAAGAGATATTCAAGTATAAAATAAAGAACAATAAACCATGTAGATGATGTGAAAGAGATATTGTGTGTATGTTTGGTACATTTTTAAAGACACCATGTCTTTTTAAAAAAAAACCCCAAAAAGTGGAAGGATTTCGTTCCCACACAAAGCCAGTCCCTGGCACATCATGAATGGTGTGCTGTCTATTTTGGGATGCCTTCGGAAGCTGATCCCCCCTCTCGTCCTCCTGCCTTTTCTTCTAAGCTGTTTTATCCTGGGCTCCCTGCCATTAGTGGTGGCATTAACAGAATTGTGAGGAGTTTTGCTCAAAAGGAATAAAGAATTTATTTGTGATCGGGTGGAGGGGAAGAAATGGCCCAGAGAGGAAGGAATGGTGTGTTTACTGGAAGTAAAACATGGCCTGCCGAGAGACCTGCTTCCGCTCGGTTCCAAAAAGTTCCTTTTTTTCATTCCTGTTAAATTTCCTTAGAGCCCTTTGCAGTCAGAACCTCTGAATCAGACATGGTCCGTGCATCTCTCCATGTTTTGAAACTCGTGCACCATGCCAGGGGCTGGCTTGGTGGGCCTTAAATTAGATATATATATTTTTTCTCTGATGCCTCTGCATTGTCCATGTATTTATTCATATAGGTCTACTCCAGAAAGTTTTTCTTTTCTTTTCTTCTTCCTAGCTCCCTGGCTTATATACGGTACATTCAGCATGCCAGCTTCCTGCCGATTTTCGACTTTTCTTCTTCTTCTTCTGCGCTTGGCAGTTCTGGGATTTGAATTTATTTATTTGCCTTTTAACCAGGTACTTCAGCCATCATGGGGTATCTGATTTATTTGTGATGATGCCGCCACCATGTTTTACGCGTGGGCTAGATCCGTACTTTCTCGTACTTTCTTCCTTTCCATGATTAAAATCGCTTGTCCTGCCAGCATGAACTCGGACTGCGATTGAAAGGGTTTCGATGGGCATTTATTCCTCACACCTCTGGGACGGCAGCGACCCACAGATCAAGGGGCTGGCCACTTCGGAGAGCTACCACTTAGGAGGCAGTGCTGGTCTGGAGATGATGTCTCTCTGCCCTCTCCCCACATCATGTCTTAAAACAGGACCTTCTCGCACCTGGACCCACAACCTGTGTGAGGCCGTGGGACAACTGGTGCTCCGTCCCTCACCCGGGCCAAAGAAGGGAGTCTGGGCTGGGCTGGAGGAGGTCTAGGAGCCCCAAAGCAGAAAAGGACGTGTAAGTAAGTGGGAGAGAATGTGTTTTTTGTCTGAAATTAGCTTCTTCCCAGCTAATTCCACTCCAGATCTCTGAGCTTTCTCAGGCATCCACAAAAGAGCAGTTTTGCGCTCCCCCCACCCCACCCAGATTCCCGAAGGCCTCTTGATGGAACAGCCACTCTGTGTGTCTCTCCTTCCTTCCTGGGATAATCCCGTGTGAGGTTGATGCAACCTGGAGATTTTGCTCCTGCAGAGGCCGAGAGAGGCAGGAACTGCAAGGGGGGGGGAGAAGAACCCCTCGTTCCTCGACCTGGTCACAGGCAGGGCCCCTTCCCTTCCCTTCCCTTCCCTTCGGGCCTCTCACCCTCCCTGGAAGTCCCACAGAGGTGTGGCCACGCTCTCCTTCCTCTCTCACCTGGGTGTCAGGTAAGGTCCATGTTATGGACCTCTCCTGGACTGGAGGCGGTTTTAGTCCTGAGTAGCTTCGTTTCTCCCTCGCCTCACACTTTCCTTCCACTTTTCCTGCACGTGTTTGTTCTTGGCAAAGCCCAAATCAATGGGGGTCAAATTACAAGAGAGGAAAAATCCCAGGCAGACCCAGGAAAGAGACCTCCGGACAGTCAGAGGTGCGTGAAAGATACGTGGCTCCCAAATCATGCCGATGGATAAATTATTATTATTGAGCTTCTGCTGTTCAGGTTTTCCTGCCCTCCTCCCTGCCCGGTACCCCACATCACAGACCGGATAGGCTTTCTATGCCTTTGGTGCGGCTGCCAGCCACGGCCGGGATGGCCACCGCTGAGGGCTTGCACCCGAGCCCATTTGAATGACAGAAGGCTCTGGCCGGCCCTTGTGAACAGGAGGAACCCCCTGCCCTCTCTCTCCATCTTGGGAAGTGAGGGACCTGTAATCTATGAGCCCCCATCATGTCATTTCGATTAGTGCATGAACAAACTCTCGGCCGGGGGTGGAGAGGAGGTGGCCTAGCCCCCACCTACCCACCCACCCTTTGGGGGGGGATAATTTATGGAATACCAGCAAGCAGAGTTCCTCCCCTCCTTTTGGCATGAGACCGTGCCCCATGTCACCCCCCCCCAAATTCATAGGATTCTCAAGATCTGGGGTGGGGGGGGCAGAGGAGAAGACCTCCTTTCCCCGGCCATCCATCCAGAACAGGGGCCAAATCTGTTTAATCCGCTTTTCTGCCTCTTCTGAGTCAATAGGGTGCCCCACAGCACCCTCCGACATTTATTATTCATTCTTCCTCTTCCCTCCTGTCTCTCGGATCCTATTTAAGAAAAAAAGGGGGGGAGAGACGTCAATAGGGTGCCCCACACCACCCTCCGACATTTATTATTCATTCTTCCTCTTCCCTCCTGTCTCTCGGATCCAATTTAAGGTGCCGAGGAAGAAGAAGAAGAAAAAAAGGGGGGGGAGAGACATTTGGAAAAATAATGATCAGAAAAAGGACCCAGCCCAGACCTGGTCCGGCTTTTCATCCTTCATGTACGTCAAGCTGAATCAAGGCAGCCTTGAAGAGGAGAACAGGCAGAAGGGCCGTCCCTGATGGCCAGGAAGGAGCCCTCCTCCTGGGCCACCATCCACTTTGACGCAGAAAATTCTAGAGCCAGGAGGGATCCCCGAGGGGGGGGTCATCTAGACCTGCCCCCTCTTCTGCCCTGTCCAGGGATCTGCCTTAGAAAAGCTATAGAATCGTAGAATTAGCGAGGGGGGCCCTCAAGGTCATTGAAGCCCTTTTCCAGAGCAGGAAACCCCCCCCCCCCGCTAAGGCCTCTTGGACAGATGGCTGCCCAGCCTTTGGTGGAAAACTTCCAGGGGGGGGGGAGAGAACTGGTCGCTTTGCGAGGGAGCCCATTCCTCCGTTGAACAGCTGCTATTGCCCGAAAGGCTCCCATCGTGTTTGGGAATTTGCTTCCTTATAATTTGGATCCATCGATTTAAGATTCCCCTCTGGAGCTGCAGGAAGCTCGCTCCATCTTCTGGGTGTGGCCACCTTCCAAATACATCAGATTTTCCTACCTACCTATGTTGATGTCACTGTTTGATATATGTATCGATGCTCCTCTGGCAGATTTGAGGGAAATTACTGACCCACAGAGGTCCGTTTCCAGTTCTTACAAGGTTATCCCTCCAGGCACACAACTCTTCCACTGACACACCACTGGTCTCCCAATTGTCCAGCCCCAAAATGTAATTAGTGTGCTAATTTATATTTTTGGATGATACCTGTGAGGACAGCCTGCTTCTTGGAAAGCTAATTTTTCCAAATGCTGACTGAGGCCCGTGTCAAATAACAGACAGTTTTTCGCTCTTAAGAGAGCACTGTGTTCCGATATGGAATCAACAGCATGGCGTCTAAGGGAATGATCCAATCCCTGAGCAGATTAAAATTGCTTCATGAAATGTGTGTTCATAAAATGTGCGTTCAGCAGGATACCAACCTTTTCTGAAAGCATCAATATAATCCGGGGTTTATAGGAATTTTTAAACCAAGCAAGCAATCTCATTGTCCTCAGGCTGGAAAATCTCAGCCCTGAGCCTCCTCCTCGGGACCCCTCTGGGGTGGCACCTCCTTTCTGGCATGCTGGCATGGGGCAACCCCAGCCGTGGGAATCTCTGGGGTCTGCAACAGCTTCACCCACCCAAGCTGGCACAGAGACCGGCCGGCCCGGATGCCACGTGTTCTCTGAGCCACGCTGGAAGGGTTGCCATAGAAACCAGCGTGACAGAAGGTGGCAGAAGGCACAGCAGCCCCCCACGGGCTATGTCTGTGGAAGGGGAAGCGCGAGGGAGAAAGGGGGGGAGCCCTATTGTTTAGAATTTCCCTATAATTAAAAACATAATCAAGGCAAAGCAGGATTGTGGCAGGAAAGGGTGCTGAGTTTCTCAGCCTCTGTTCCAGAATGGCTGGTTTTTATCTGGGGTGGAGAGAGTGAGTGGCCTCCTCTTCGTGGATTGATCATACAGTTATGACCCTCCCAGGAAGTGCAAGGTGGCCCCCCTGGCCCCCCTTTGGCCTCCTATGTTATCCTCATGACGATGACACCCCTGTGAGGTAGGCAAAGTTAACAGCAAGAGTCACTGGCCCAGGGTCGCCCAGAGAGATTTGTGGGTCCGTTCTCTGGAGCCCTAGTCGAGCACTCTGAGCACTGCCCCACACGGCGGGGCGTCTACAGAGCGGGTGACCAGAAGCCAACTGGGAGCGCATCAGGAGACCTAGCACCTCAGTGTTGTCCCCCATCAGCTGAGGGCCTAGAGGTGGGACTGACGGACAGCTTCCTTCCTTCCTTCCTTCCTTCCTTCCTTCCTTCCTTCCTTCCTTCCTCTCACTTCCCCTTTTTTCCTTTCTAAGTTCTCTTCATTTTCATTTCTACCTACTAAAACTGACCCTCTAAAAACTCCAGACAGGTATCCACTCAATTCCTTGGGGCCGAAAATGCAAAGGTGATGGGAAGGAGGAATCTGCAGAGGTGA